CACTGCTGTGCGGCACACAAGTTCCACCTTATAGTCAGGGATGTCTTGGAGGGGGACATGGCTTCCAGGGATGGTGCCGTCACTAACACTAACACACAGATTTCAAAATGCAGGAAAGTGGCAGGGTACTTCCACTGCAGCATTACGAGGGGCAAGATGCTGCAGGAGAAACAAGCAGAGCTGAGCATCCTGCCACACAAGATCATGCAGGATGTGAAGACTTGGTGGAACTCCACATACCTGATGCTGGGAAGGCTGGTGAAACAACAGAAGGCCATCCATGAGATGGCCCTGCTGGGGAGATTGGGATCAGCAGCCGCCTTAACAAAGCGGAGTGGAATACCATCTCCCAGATCTTGGTGGTCCTCAAGCCATTCCTTGAGGCCACTGAGACCCTCAATGCTGACAATGCCCTCCTCAGCCAGGTGATCCCCATCGTGAAGGAACTTGAGAACCAAATGGAGAAGTCCCAGGGGATCAATGTTCCTGGCTAGGGCAAGCTGCTGTCACCAGACATGTAGGATCTGGTAAGGTGGCTGAAGGAGGGCATCACAAAACAGCTGGATCTGTTGCGGTCCAGTACAGTCCACACGCTGGCAGGCATGTGCCACCAGAGGGTGAAGAGGAGCATGTGCACTGGCAACATGCTCGATCACTGGACGTAAGTGCTGGTCAACAGAGCCAGGGAGGCAGAAAGGCAGAGGCGAGGGGACATGGAAGAGGGGGATCCACTTTCCCATGCCAGGACTCCCAGCACCAGCCAGTCTCCTCCACGCCAGCTGCTGTCAATATGGGCCAAAGGCATGGCTTCAATGTTGGGGTCCAGATGCAGCAGAGCCCAGCCTTGGGCAGGTATCGCTGAGGCTTCAGTGGCTACCCATCTCACTGAGGATGTGGAGCTGCTGGACTGCAACCCCTTGGTCTATTTGGCAACCCACAGCCAGATGTGGCAGGGTCTGGCCCCGGTTGCCTGGGAACACCTGTCCTGTTCACTGACCAGCGTTCCAAGCGAGAGGATGTTCAGCATTGCTGGGGATGTTGTGACACCCCACTGTCTCTGCCTGGATCCTGGTTTGGTGGAGCAGCTGGTGTCCCTCAAGGTGACCCTCCCGCTGCTGGGGTTCCCCAAGCTCCACCTGCAGATGGACTGAGTGCCACCCTCCTCACTCAATCTGCACTTATTTCTGTTTGGGTTTTTTTAAACCAGTTAATGCTCTGCTCTCTGAGCTGGAGGGAGCACTCATTGCATCACCAGCCAGCAGGGGAAGAACATGTCCCATGCCAGCTCCCGTGCTCTCACCCCCTGACTCCTCCATTTCCATTTTCACTGACTAGCTTTCTTGCCTGCATTGCATGCCAGCCTCTGGCTTCTTTACTATTCCTTCCATCCAGAAAGTGCACACACAGCAACTGCAGGTGCTCCCTCAGCCTGACGAAGGGTTTTTCAACCCAAAAGCTTGCTAAGATATATTTCCCCAACTATTCAGTTGGTCTACTAAAAGATACCAGATTGACCCAAAGAACCTTGTCTGCCAGTTCCATGTCCTTAGACCAAGTCCCCTAGCACCTGTGCCCGGTCAGAGGGACCTGACCGGAAGGAGGCAGGGCCCTCAGCATATCTAAGCCCCAGGGCTCGGGCTGGCAGGGGGAGTTGTCTGGCAGCTGCTGGAGAAGAAACACCACCAGAAAAGGAAAGAAAGGCTCTGTGACAGTTTGGCTGCCTGACATGCTAGTGCTACTGTGCTGCAGTGCTTGCCTGTTGTTATTTAAAGTGGTGGACCGGGATGTGGCTATAGGGGAGGAGGAGCCTTCATTGGAGCACACTACCATGTCATGTAGAGGCCCCAGCGTCAGTGGGGGCATGCCTTAACACACACACAAAGTCGCACATGTCGTGAGTTTTGCTTGTAAGGAGCCTGAGGTGCAGTTTCCCCAAAACCCCTGCACCTAACTCCTTGAAACTTGGTAGGCTTTATGCCCTCAGAAGGGGCTACCATGCCTGCAATTTTTCTCCAAATCAGCCAAAAAATGACAATGTTACAGGTATTTCAGTGATTCCCCATTATAGTGTATAACTTAATTGCCGAATCTCTCTGAATCAGCACCAAATTTCTGAAGCCGATTCAGCCAAATCAATTTGGGACAGTGATCTGACTCTCTGAATTGAATCACTGTCCTCCAAACTGGCCAAATCTGAATCCAAATAGAATACTTCCCTATTCGTACAGGCCTACTGCTTATGCAATAGATGAAACAAGCAGTTTAGCGAAAGGGAAGTCCCCAGGAAGCATCCATGTTATCCTTGGGGTTTTGTGTTTGATTCTCTTGGTTTCCTAACAACCCATTTTCAGCACCTTGATTGCAGCACCCCTGAAGATGTGGGGTTGACCTTGGGCAATGACCTACATCAGGCCACAAATGCACAAAATGAATGCAATTCCTCAACTGTTGTGAGACTGAGCCAATATCCAGACCCAGAGAGGAGTTCCACCTTAGGTGCAACACCAGGTGTTGTGCCAAACAGCCAATGAGCACCAAGATTGTCTCACCATGCACAGACTGTCTAAAATGCAAACAAAATGCTAGGCTCCAGCAGGGACATAAGAGCAAATCATACGAAAACACACACTCACTCTCTTACCCTGTCTTTCACATACATACAAACCAATTCACATGTGCATGCAAAACATTCTGGGAATTCCCTAAAACAAAATACTGAGAAGTACATTTAAGAGACATTCAAGAAAGGACTAGACATTTACACAAATGATGAGATCATTTCTGTGGCTACACTGCCTGCGTAAGAAGCAGGTTATACCCTTGCCTCTGTGTAGACATGAAAAAATTGCTCATTGCCTAGGATTGGAGAGAACCCCTCCCCATCTCCCCGAGAGAGAACTGCAAAACCATAGGGTTTTACATGGTTTTTCTCTGCAGCTTCTGCTAGCAGCAACTTTAGGAATACTGAGCTAGATTAATACATAGAATTGTTGGATTGCAAGAGACCCCAAGAACCATCTAGACCCCTGATTCTCAATCTGGGTGCCATAAGATCCTTTTAAGGGTGTTGCATAGGTATGCAAACACCTACATGATTCACAAGATAAACTCAAAACTTTCAAATAGGAATCTATGCTGTCAAAAACATTTTGGCCCTGTTGTGGCCTGAGTTCTTTGCAACAGAAGAATTGTTCAATTATTTTTTTTGTAGTAAAAAAATGAACAAAAGCTGAGAGCTAGCACTTTCTAAGGAGTCCCTTAAGGTCAGAAAGGGTAAGAACCACTGATCTAATCTAACCTCTGCACAGATGCACAATGCAATTCCTAAACCATCCCAAACAGATACTCATCTGGCAACATAACTTGCAGTTACACAGAGCATCCTTCATCTAAGCTAGGGACAGAAGTTATACATAAGCCAATATAAGTGATCAGAAACTGATTTAAATCTGGAACACAACAGGACAAAGTACAGACATCTGGGGATGTTAGGGGAGGTTAACTTGATTCAAAATGGCTGCCCAATATCAGGTACGTCAGGTGAGGGAAGTTAGTGGGGGAGTTG